TATGGAGAGAACAAAATATCATTTGTCTTATAGTAATATTTACAAAATTGCCCCACAAAAGTAATTTTTTTTAAAAAAATACACTACAGAATTAACAAATCCAGCATTCACAACTCTCTCTATCTTGAACCTTTGTAATTTGAAGGGTTGTGAAGTTTAGATTATCATGGGCGATAATCTAAACTTCACAACCCTTTAACTAAAGGATAAGAGCACACTATAAATAAAGTTTCAGGTCACTAACTTTCAAAATGTCATTATATTTTTGTAAAAATTTCAAATTTGCTCTTGCTTGATCGTAAAGTTACTTATTTAAATAATTTTATAATAAAAAAATAATAATTGTTTTGATAAATATACTGATCACAACCCCTTCTAACTTGAATCTTTGTATTTTGAGAGGTTGTTAACTCTAAACAAACTATATATATATACGATTTGTATAGAGCAGAGGCTCTAAACAATCAAATTAGAGCCTACTTTTCAAATAGTATCGAGAAATGTAATTTCAATATTAGAAAGTTTTTTGATAGCTTTAAATTATATTTTCATTTTTAGTTATAAAATTTAAAGCTTTAAAAATAGTGCATGTCGAGTAGATATTTGAAAACTTGAAAATATTGAAAATTGAAGGTCTAAAAATGTGCTATAATATGCATTATTTTTAAAACTTGAAGTCCATTTTTTTCTTATGTCCGTACATCTTGATGTTGAGATGGTAATTTGATAATATTTGGGCATCAAAGCAATCTTTGCTAATGAAAGTTTTGAGGTAGGCTCGAATGTGATTGTTTAGAGCATAAGCTCTTATATATATATACATATATTATACTATTGGCCGGCACGCCTATGCCAATGGGGTGAATCGAACGGGTGGGGTCAGCTTTGTGGACTTTTAACGGTTGTGATCGCTCTTGACTTGATTTCAAACCCATTTCAAATCAACCTATGCAAATGGCCTGATGGACCACACTATTATATCTCTCTATTGTCATAGGGTAGCGGGTCTCTTTCTCTCTCAAACAAGAACCCAAATCTCTCGCTCTTTTGCTGCCCCCTCTCTCTCTCATCTTTGGTTCAGGCTTGCCCTCACTCTCTCTCGTGTTTGTGCCTTGCCTCTGTCTCTCTCTCGAGTTTGTGCCCCCTGCCTCTCTCTCTTTCTCTCGAGTTTGTGCCCCTGCCCTCTCTCTTTCTCTCTTGTTTGTGTCCTACCCCCTCTCTTTCTCTGCCATGAGTTTGTGCCCTCTGCAGCTTGGTCTCCCACTCTCTCAACATAGAAGACAAAACAAGAAGAGGAGAAAAAAAGCAAAAACTCTCTCTCTCTAGAAAAATATTTTGGATTCTCTCTCTAGGAAAATCTTCTCTTTGATCATAGGAACCAGAGGTAAATTTTGGTTAACGCAATGGACAATGAAGAGACTACAAAATGCTTATGGGCGAAAATGAACAGCATTTTTGCACATAGATTTGACGCCGTTCGATGTTTTCGGACAGTGTGGATTAAGACCATCACAGACATAGCATGTATGTGGCAGTTCGTCACGGATATAGCATGTCTGTGACGAGATTTTTTTTCACGCAAAATTGACTCATAAAATATATGAGGATTGCCACGGCTCCTGTAAGTCCGTGATTGTTTTTAAGTGAGCGAAACATTGTTGCAATTCGCCTATATGCGTTTTTAAGACTTTTATGGAGTATTTTTTAATAAGGGTATGTTTTGTTATTATAAAGGGTATAACATCATCTATATGGGGTGTGATATCACCCACATGAAACATACTAGTGACATTTAATGCTCCATGTGGGTGACGTCACAACCTAGGTAAATGACATCACACCCCACCTAATGATCAAAAATATTTTTATTGAAAAAAATGATCTATGTACAAAATAAAGGTATACAAATGTTCAAATTTTGTTGAGCACAAAAATAAATTACTCCATAGTGTGAACACCTTAACATAATCCTATTTTTATATGGAAGTCAGACATATCTACATCAAAATAAGATGCAACGAATAAAAATGAAAAAAATATTTCAAATAATTGTCTTCCTTCTTTATGGACTTTATCTCTCTTGTATTTCTTCTTTAAGAGGCACTTACTCTATCTGGTTTCCTTCTCTCTTCAAGGGGATTTCTCATCAATATGATTTATCTCTTGATAAAGTGTCAAATTTATACTGTAGAAGTTTTTGTACTTCAAAAACTAACTCGCAAAAGGTTATTCTGAGATCGAAAAACTTTACAATTGATCATCTCAACTTCAAGATGTATGAAATATAAGAGAGATAAAAAAAGGCCTGCATAAAACTCATTGTTTTTTTTTTGTCCCTACCCAAAGTAAAGTGAAAGCTTTCTACGTGACTCCACCTACATATAAATTAGAAAAATTGTTTCATGAGTTGGGTGACACATTTTTATATTTGCGTTTCCCAGTGTCTATAGCATTTATTCTAAAGATGGATGCAAATAAGCAGCCAATCTAAAAATAGTTAAAATTAACAATCTAAATATTTTACTTATTAAGTTATTATTTTAATTTTAAAAACTTATTTAATTTGTCATATTCATAATCTCCATATTAGAGGTTATATGTCCTTAGAAATTTGGTCCAAAAATCAGTCTCAATTTTTTTTAAGAGGTGTCTCATTTTTACATGGACTCATAGAAACTGTATCTTATAAATTATATAAGATTTTCACTTCTAAGCCTTTCAATCCAAATGGACAGTTAGGATTGCTCATGTCACACCAAAACACTGTTTAATTTTTAATTTATTGTCTACAAAACATTTGTGAGTGAAATTTGGAGTGTCCCATCTTCTTATTGGGGGCACAACTACCTATACTTTTTATAAAAAAATAAATTTTTCGAGAAAATACATAACCAAAATGCCCCCAAAAGTTTCATTGGCATTTTGATAAATTTTCATCAAAAAATATTTTTAATATTATTTGTATCCTATTCACCATTGTTAGATTTGTGCATTACCCAAATTTTGTTGGAAGAGAATTTTTAAAATAAGGATTAAAAATAAACACTCTAAATCATCGGGTCAAGATCTGACCTCAAGAGCCAACTTGTGACATTGTGACTCAAGCCATCCCAGCCATCTATTGAAATCTCGCGGTTGAGAAGAGGGGTTACATATACTTTATATATCGGTGGAGTCACATTTCCCTAAGATAAGTGATTATGTTAAAAGCCAATTTTTTTTTTACTACAAATATGAAAGGTTCGATTGTCCAAGAATATGGGGATTCATTTTACAAATATATTTTGGGTGCAATTGGCATACGGATGCATCCGTAGTTGTAGAGGTAAGATGCACCTTCAAAATTTATATCATGGTATATAATTTCGATGTAAAATGTTATTAGGATTATCTCAAAATCTATTTTTATATCTAATTATAAAATTTTAATTTTTAAAAATGGTTAAAATCAAGTAAATACTATAAACATATG